TTTCACCAGTCAGAATCCAGCATGAAACCTCTATCACATGGACAAGTTAGTTGATCGCCAATAAAACCAAATTAAATATGAAAAAGGAATTTAAGATAAAACTGACATCCAATAATATTAGATCTTACCAATCCAACCAGCAACGAAAACACCAATAGCAATATAAATGACTCTTAAAGCAAGCTGCAAAGAAACGAAGTCCAAACTAAAAAATTAGCATTTCTCACTAATTATGACGCGGGCATTTTCTGAGCATACAGAATTATAATTGAAAGAATTAATGTGTTTAAGTACGTAATTTCACAGATGGGAAAAATTCAAAACAAAACAAGCATGAACCATGTACAGAATTACACTCCAATCAGTACTCCATTCTGAAACCAATCACCAAAGGGAATTGGGTTAACAAAAATAGAGTATGAATACAACCAAAAGGCATGTTTCTAACACAAGCTACATCCACCATATCTTTTCGAAGCCAAGCACCAGAGTTACGAGTTCATAAACTTACAGCTACATCAGGATTTAAGATTGCAAGTAGTATTTTATTTATCACAAATATTCAGACCACCAACTAGTTACATTGAGTGATGAGAAAAGCAAATGGAATATCGAGAAAAAAGGAAACTAATATTTCTATTAAAAGAATAAAGCTTCAAAATGAAAGATTCTCTTAGTCCCACTACCAAAGAAAACCAATCAAAAGAAAAGAGAATCACTCCGGAACCTATATTCTAAGCCCAGCCACCTTGACCAAGAAAATTAGCTCAGTAACAGTCCAGTTCCGGCACTCAATACTAAATTTTAGCAATTCCCTGATAAACAAACACAGCGATCACCAGAGGCATACAACAAATCCCCAGAAGGAGAGTTTCCAATAATCAGTTACTGACCTCCCTAAATCTCTGATACTGCTCATGCTGAGGAATCCTCTGCACATGGACAATCTTAGCAAAGTAGTGGAGATAAACGACCAAAGCAGTACCGTGAGCTGCAGCGGCAATCGATCCAACGACCATGAGAGTCCAATCAAGCCGGTCGGCACATGCAAACAGCCGCGAAAACGGCACAGCAGCAGGAGGCGGCTCAATCTCCTCAGGCTCCTCGATCTCCTCCGGCTCCTCAAGCCGCTCGCCGGTAGGGTCGTTACCAGGGTCAAGGTACGGAGACGGAGACTCCGGCGGCTCCGATACCTCAGACACAGGAGTCAAGGGCTGTATATGAGGTGGAGACCACCCAAACAACCCCCTAGAGATCATCATCTTGAAGAAGAAACCCTAATCCCCTACCTCACCCTCCGTCAATCCCAAAACAGAGAAACAAAAACCCTAATTCCCCCTAAATTTAGCCACAGATCTGCTAACTTTAGTGGAAACTTTCCTGTACCCAAAGAAACATACAAAAAAATTGTCCTGTTTCTAGGGTTTCAGAATCACCCTCTCCCCTTCTTCTCCTTCTTCTTCTCCTTCTTCTTCTCCTCCTCCTCCTCCTTCCTTCGTTCCTCCTCTGTGGAAGTGTTCTTGTCTCCTTTTTTCAGTTTTTTTTCCTTTTTTCTTTTTTCTTTTTCTCTTTCTTTCTCGAAAGAGAGAACCAACAAATGGTTATTGCAGCTGCGTGAGAGTGAGTCAAAAATGGCGGAGACACCCGGCAAATGTTTGACTCGCCCAAACTATCACCCCAAAAAATAAAACAAATTATCATATACATTTATATATATATATATATATATATATATATATATATATATATATTATTTCCCTTTTGCCCTTCTTTTAACGGTCAAATGCAGGCGATGCGTTTCAACATTTTGAGTACGGCTACTGCCTTTGACAACTCACCCATCTCATAATTCAAACTAATTTTGAATTAATCCCAATAAATCCTATCCTAAAATTAATATAAAAATTAAAAATATTTAACATTTAAACGCAATTTCCTAATTATTAATATAATTTTAAAAAAAAGGTCGATCGTTTGAATTAGGGTATAAATTCTGTTCATACTGCTTGTTCACGTCACCAATACAATGAAGCTAAAATTTTATGTGGGTGACCAAGAGTGTATATATGGTATGTAGAAGTCAATGGAAATGAAAAACTTATAAGGTAATGATGACACGTGGCAGAATTGGGTGAAAGTAGCGGTGAGATTAGCAAGAGAGGGCGGGAGACATAATTGAAGTGTTCTCTCTCAATGAATGACAGACCATTTTCTCTGTGTGTTGGTCTTTATTGTTGAGCGATCATGTGCACTTTTTAGAGTGCTATTATGGCTCTGCTTTTTTGGGTTTCTTTGTGGGTTCGACCCCATTTTCCTAATTCTTTTAAATAAAATAAAATATATATTAAATAAATATTTTAAAGCGAAAGAAAAAGTGGTTTTTTTTAATCAAAATTAAAGATAGATGGATAGAGACATGTCATTAATTCCTTTTAATTTCTTCTTCTCTTTTGTGAACCTCAATTACAAAATGATTTATGATCATGGAAATTTGTTCATAATTTTATTTCTAGAATTAATATTTTTTTTCATTGAGTATATAAATTATCCTGTAATTACATATTTTCGTGTCATTTATCAACTAAATTAATAAAATTGTTATATAAACACGAAGTTTGAGTTATGAATAAACCGATTTTAAAAGTTATATTTATTTTGTTTGGAATATTAGCCGTAGAATGTTAGAGCTATTAGGTCTCGAATTTTGGACATCTCCATTATTATAAAAATAAAAATAAAAATAATTTAAAATTACGAAAAAGAAAAACATAATTAAGAATAATTAATTAATTATGTGAAATTAAAGATGTAATCAAACAATCACTTTTAACTACAAATTAGAGACATTACATAATTATAAAAACTATATATATAATATAAAATTTATTTGAATCGAAGCTGATGGAGTCAAATTCAACCGTTGATTACTTCTACTTCCAACAATCACGAAATTATAAATTCACATTAATTAGCATATGAGGGAATATGCCATGTTTGTTAGTTATTTTAAAATAAATGAAAAGTATAATTGGGGCCTTTTTTTTATTTCCGACTAATTTGGACTATTCAATCTCCACTATGTTTGTTAGTTATGTTAAACGTCTCGATTTGGATTGAAAATGTAAGCACAGTTTATAGGTGTTAAAATTGCTCTAGTATTGGGTGGTTGAAGGTAGTATTAGGAATTACAGATCTCCACGAAGGTATGATATTGTCCACTTTGACCATAAGCTCTCTGGCTTTGTTTTGGGCTTCCCCAAGAGGCCTCATACCAATGGAGATATATTCCTAGCTTATAAACTCATAATCATTTCCTAAAATAGTCAATGTGGGACTCCTTCCCAACAATTCTCAACAATCCTCCCTCCGAATAAAGTATACCATAAAGCCTCCTCTGAGACCTATGGATCTCTCGAATAAAGTACATCCTTTGTTCGACACTCGAGTCACTTTTAACTACATTTTCGAGGGTCCCAACTTCTTTGTTCGACATTTGAGGATTCTATTGATGACTAAGTTAAGGGTACGACTCTGATACCATGTGTAGAACCACGACTCTTCACAATGGTGTGATATCGTTCACTTTGAGCATAAGCTCTCGTGGCTTTGCTTTGAACTTCCCCTAAAGGCTTCATACCAATAGAGATGTATTCTTTATAAATCCGTGATCATTCCTTTGATGTATATCACGGTCACCAAATAGGATAGAAACCAATAATTTTGTTCTACGTCCAGTTTAAGAAATACTTTACATATTGAGGATTCCAATATTCCAACCACGAGTGGCAATAGTATCACAAGTTCAATGTATAATTCCTCGGATGAATTGACAATTCCACACAAGACATCAGAAACCAGTAGAGAAACCAATGCTACTAGACCAACTGCAAGCTAACGAGAATAAGATTCTCATGAAACTAAGAAATAAGCAGGATAAGCTAACGAGGAACCGGAATCGACGTTAATTACTCATGAAACTAAGAAAAAAATCAAAATCCTTGGACTGAACCAATTGGGATGCAACGTACAGGTTCCAAAACCAAAAGCACTCGGTTCCATAACCAAACAACATCCAAACATCTTGTACTTCCTTCATCGACGATTAAAGGAAACAAAAAAAAAATCGAACTAGCACTAATCATTTCTGAAACAAACTTCGTGAAAGAGTGCGATAATACCTGCAGAACGAGCATGATGCCAATAGTAATCCCGGACAAGAGATCGCTCTGTAAATAATCCCGCCATTTATACGTTCTAAACAAACGGGAGTTCCATCCAGTGAATCCAAGTCATCTGCTTAACCTTCGCCGTCCATGTCTTCACCAGAGCACCGACATACAAATAGCCGGCCGGCGAGGACGACATCGTACTAGGATGCTGCAATGGAACAACATTGACGGATCGGCTCGAGGAATGCATGGCGGAAGGGCAGACTTAGCGAAAGCAAGACAAGTCATGCTAGACGATGCATATGTAATCTCCATGCGCAAAACCAACGCATGGAATTGTACTGACTCTGATGATTCCCAAACAGTGGGACTGAAAAACTAAAGGTCAACAAACGATTGGTTCGATGAACCGAAGAGATTTTCTCTATGAATCAACTTATTTTTCTAGAAAATTTTTGTAATTCTTGTCGACTGGAATTAGTCACAACAATTTTCATATATAGTAAATAAGATTGTTATTTTTTTTTTAATTACAAGATTAATTTTAAAATCTTTAAATTTATATGAATCAAGGATAATTGAAAAATACCCATAAATTTGATATTTTATTTCAAAAATATCTCTCCTTTAAAAGTTTCAATAATATTTTTAAATTAAAAAATAATAATTAGTAATTTAATTCAATATTTCGAAAATATCTATCAAATTTTCAATAATGTTTCAAAAATATCTTTGAATTAAAAAAAAAAAAATATATATATATATATATATATTAAATTTAGCAATTTAAATAGTAAAGTAATATAACTAAAATTGAAAAAAGTGTACACACCGGTTAACGTTTTGCGCGAGTAGATGTGTATTTACAAAACCCTAATATATAAGGCACATCGTCTTCTCCCCTGCTGAAACCTAGCCTTTCCGATTGCAGCTGTTCGTCCGTGTAAGATCTTTTTTTCGCTTCACTTCCTCTCAAACTATCGATGCTTGTTTTTTCTTCTTCTGTATCTAGGGTTAGGGTTGGGGTTACATTCGATGCCATTAGTTCGATTCGTATGAGATTTACTCGCTTTTTCACTTCGCAATTAGTTGCTAGTTTTCTCCACTCGTTGATATCTATGTCCGTTTTTTGTACCACGAACAGGTCAGAGTAGCGATTAGGTAGAGGACTTTGCAATGGCTCCGAAAGGTTAGTTTATCAATTTATACATCGAACAGTTATCGATTACTCGTTTTTATAAAAATCTCTTGCATATATAGTTGCATAGGACATTCAAATTATTTTCAGTGCTACATCATTTCTCATGACTGCCGTTCGATATTTATTCTGTACGCGATTTGGATCTCTAGACTCAGTTGTTGAAAACATTTGAGCTTCGAATTTAAAAGAAGCAGATAATTGCAAAATTGAAACGACAAGATCTGAATAGCCTGTTTAGAATTTAGTCCGCGGGCTACAAACTTCATAGAATCGCACGATCGAAAGATTTGCTTGAATCACTCTGCTTCACTACTTTTTCTTTCACCGTTGTCGAAAGTAGAAAAATGGTGATTAGAAGTTTATTGTTAGTGTGAATATCATTTTTACAAACTATGTGAGAATGCTCGTAGGATATATAGAAGATAAGCATTGACAATTTACACATATAGGAAGGATTAGTTTTGAGTGAATAAACGAGCCAGGCTTGATATTTCTTTTACACATATAGGAAGGATATATAGAAGATAAGCATTGACAGTTTATTGCTTCACTACTTTTTCTTTCACCGTTGTCGAAAGTAGAAAAATGGTGATTAGAAGTTTATTGTTAGTGTGAATATCATTTTTACAAACTATGTGAGAATGCTCGTAGGATATATAGAAGATAAGCATTGACAGTTTATTGCTTCACTACTTTTTCTTTCACCGTTGTCGAAAGTAGAAAAATGGTGATTAGAAGTTTATTGTTAGTGTGAATATCATTTTTACAAACTATGTGAGAATGCTCGTAGGATATATAGAAGATAAGCATTGACAGTTTATTGCTTCACTACTTTTTCTTTCACCGTTGTCGAAAGTAGAAAAATGGTGATTAGAAGTTTATTGTTAGTGTGAATATCATTTTTACAAACTATGTGAGAATGCTCGTAGGATATATAGAAGATAAGCATTGACAGTTTATTGCTTCACTACTTTTTCTTTCACCGTTGTCGAAAGTAGAAAAATGGTGATTAGAAGTTTATTGTTAGTGTGAATATCATTTTTACAAACTATGTGAGAATGCTCGTAGGATATATAGAAGATAAGCATTGACAATTTACACATATAGGAAGGATTAGTTTTGAGTGAATAAAAGAGCCAGGCTTGATATTTCTTTTCCCCCTCAGCTGACCTCACCAAAAAGGCTGACCCTAAGGCACAAGCCTTGAAAACTGCCAAGGCAGTAAAATCGGGTCCAACATTTAAGAAGAAAGCGAAGAAAATCAGAACGTCTGTCACATTTCACCGTCCAAAGACATTGAAGAAGGAAAGAAATCCGAAGTATCCACGAATTAGTGCTACTCCAAGGAACAAGTTGGACCAGTATCAGATTCTTAAATACCCTTTGACTACTGAGTCTGCAATGAAGAAGATCGAGGACAATAATACTTTGGTTTTCATTGTGGACATTCGTGCTGATAAGAAGAAGATCAAGGATGCCGTGAAGAAGATGTATGACATCCAGACCAAGAAAGTGAACACGTTGATCAGGTAAAATCTTAATCAAACATTCCTATGGTTTCTTCTTAGAATATTGAGGTGGGTTCTTCCCGGATATGATCTCAATCTTAAATAATCCATCATCTTGTGGAAGTTTCTTGTTATCATTCTTAGAGCCGACTTATCAATGAAATTAATGGCTGCAATGATTTTCATAAAATGTTCACACTGACAACGTTGCTTGCTTTATCCAATATTGCAGGCCTGATGGAACCAAGAAGGCATATGTAAGGCTGACTCCCGATTATGATGCTTTGGATGTTGCAAACAAGATTGGAATCATCTAAGGCTTTCGTTTTTGTTTGAGAAAATTGAATATCTTTCGCAGTGACAATTTTGATTTATGGAATGACCTCCATTTTCTCTAGCAATCAGTAAGTTGTTTTTTCACCAAGCTGCTGCAACGCTTGTTGGCTTGTGAATGGTAGGGTTTGTGGTTGAATGTAATAGAAGTCTGCAGTTCTTTACTTCACCTATTTTCCTCATTTCCACTAACAATATAATCTGAAGACTGGTTTTTCATGATCCCTGCTTTCTTCTCCCACCCAAGATTTTACCAACTTTTCTGGATTTCTAGTCATAATCATACATTTTAGTTCCTTCTGATATTTTGGTTTGATTCCGTCACGAGCCATTGTCAATAGCAAGATTTGTATAATTTCTTAATTTTGAATGAAAACCCCTTCACAAAATTTGTCAGGAATTTAAGTAAAACTGTCGGTACTAGGTGTTGTAATTCCTCTAAGCTCGAATGTTGATGAATTTAATTAATGAACAAAAGGGGGGTAAGTTACAGAAGTTTAAGCTGTAAACAACCTGAGAGAATCTAAATTAATGATAAACGTGTTCACATGGGTGCCCCGTCAAACTTTTGAAATTGTGAAGGAATCGACGACCGTGCGCAATTTATCTTTCATTTTCTCCCACCTCCTCTCATTTGCTCCGGTTGTCAAAGTGTAGAATTTCCCTGCGCCATTGAAAGGATAAAAAAGAGCTTTGTTAGGAATCTAAGTTGATTTTAAAAATGAAGTTACTTTCTATCGTTCAAAATTATCATCTAGTTATGGTTCGACTGTTGAATAAGATGAAAAATAAAGCTCTTCTATATGAAAAATAAAGCTCTTCTATATATAATTTGCTGGGGATAGAATGAACAAGAAAAACTTCAAGAAAGATGTTCTCGTTCAAGAGTATATGACTAGCGAAGTTTCATACCGTTGGCAACAACAATTGTGCTGAGAGCATGGCGAGTGTAGTTTGGAGCTTGAGCTACAAACTCAAATGTGTAGTACGCTTTCCCATCAATGTCATGCTGCACCATTCATCATCAACACATAACAGAGGGGGTGAAAATGTACCTTTTTTTTTTTTTTGTGGAGGGTAACATGTAAAGCTAGAAAAATTGTAGAGCAATAGTCATATAAACTTGACAAGTCGAACAAATATGAACTCCTTCAAAAGCTTGTAGGGGAATCAAAAGTCATATGAGACGTCACAAACCCATAAACTAGAACAACTTAGGACACTTTCTCGAATGGACAAACTTTTGAACGTTAATTAAAACAAGGTATAAGTAGCTTATTGGTTGCTATTTCTTTTTCTATAAGGCCAGACTTCACAAGGAGAGCTATCTTGATGTGAAGCAACTGTGCCAAAATGAAATTTGGAGCATATATCCTACAGCAAAGTGAAGAGAAGATGGCCAAGAAGAAGTGACAAGCGACCTCATTGGAACGGGTTCTATCGTCAATATTTGTAGCCATGAGCTTGGATTAAAGGGATGAGCCAATGGACTTCACATCACAGATTGAACAAATGAATTGGTCGCACTTTTGGGTGTATTTCCATTTTATATGATTGATTTACTTACCGAAGAACCTTCTGTGTAGAGTGAGTGATGCTTGTGGATCAGATCCAACGGGTAAGTTAGTTTACAGCTACTATTTATTTCACTCGACAGCAACTAATATGATAAAATCTTAGTCAAGAGTATAGATATTCAAACCTCTGATGCTTCGATTAACTTTGTTCTTTGATTAGAAGGAGCTAGAACCTTCTTTATCAAAGTTTCAGCAATCTGAATCATGAAACAATGAAGTTACCTAAAGATAAAATTCCCAACTTAATGCATTATTCGAACAGTTTATTGCTAACCTGTTGAGGGGACCCAAAATCTCGAATATCTTCTTTGCTGGTTGGAATCATATTGACACTGACATTTTCTAATGGTTCAATTACATCTTTGAATACCTTATCTTGACCATCAATGACTACTTCCTGCTCACTCGAGTGAATAAAATGCTTTAAAACGTGCTTCTTGTGCTAAGTAGTTAAATTTAAAGTGTATTGTGTGTGCAAAAGTACCTGCCACCCAAATGGGTAGACGAATGAGTAGCCGTCTTTCTTGTCTGAAACTGATAAGAACCCTTTCTTTGTTTCTGCAGCAACTGAGCAATATCAAGCGGGTACCCTTAGGATATCATCATCCTCCATTTTGGAAGAAAGAAATACAGTGTACGCTTGAGGCACTAATTTTAGAATTGAACTTCTTCAATAGAAGCAACCAAAATGTAAGAGAAACGTAAGATATGAGTAACTAAGAGGAGAAATAAGTCTTACATGACATGGAATTCATGTCTGCAAGATAAATCCAAGTAATAAACGCACTGCCGGCTAGCAGCTGGCGTCTCCCAAGTCTATCTGCCAAGAAAACAGAGCAACTATTGAATAATGAAATTATTTGTTTCTAAAGCTGATAAGAATGAAGTGAGATCATCCACGGGAAACACAAGCCAGAAAATGCTTTTTGAGTTTGAAGAAACGGTACACGGTAAATCCTTCGAATCTCTCAATTTACTTGCGCCAAATCATCTCGATTCATAACACAATCACTGAATGTCAAGCACATTCAATTAACTCGCAATGTGAAGCTAAATTCCAGTATAATCAGTACTCAAATTCATATGAAACCTGATTTTCCATCTCAATTTGGTAAACTGACCTTCGGAACTGCACGCATGGCCATTAACTGAAGATCCGCGTGCTCGCTCAGCCCTTACAAGAAATGAAATCCCCGCTCTGCAGCAAACAGATCTTCCATGGAGTTTCTGCGAGCGAAAAAAGATAATTGATCGTTAATCAGAACGAATGACAGGAAGAAAACAGAAGCCAAAATTGGATTGATTTTGAAGGAAATGTGAACCTGAGAAAGAGAATTGATGAAGAGAGACTTCTGGACAGGGGGTAAGCAATGCAGAGACGCCATTGAAGATCCTTTGCTTCTGAAGCGTGTGCTTCGTTAATGTGAGATGAACTTATCTTCTGGTTCTGTTCTTGGATTGCCTATCCGCTGTGTTCGCGCCTTCGCTCAGCCACGTTTCTTACGTCGGCCCCTCACCCGTTTTTCTGCCTTTTTCTCTTCTTTTATTTATATATCACTCCCAAAACTATGTCCATATTATTAAAAATAACATTTTTTTTATATGTTTAATTTTAAAAACTTTTTTTTAATTAATTTTTTTTAGACTTAGATACACCGAGACTTGGGATGACAAAGCTTAATTGACAAAGATTCTCGATAATGTCTGAGCAAACAACGGAGGCAGATAACATCTTAGAACTTGAGATTGCATCACGAAGTCTGACCGTGTCATTGAAAACCAAAACAATGAGATGAAAAGCAATATTCCATTTGAAGGATCTCGATTTACTATAGAGACATACTCGAAGACCTAAACTAAAGTATTTTTTTGCATGAGTTGTGATTAAAATTGACAATAAAAAAATCTCACATAAAATCTGACAAAACTGCAATTTCTAAAGAAAAAAAAATTAAAATGAGATTTGATTTTAAATGAAGTATAATAAAATATAATATTTATATAAAAATTAAGAATGATAAAATATAATACTAAAATTTTTATATAGTTAAATACGTTTTCTTATATGATGGCAACTTAGATATGTTTTCAAAACACTTAAATTAGTTAAAGACGGATATTGCAGTTCCCACATCGGAAAGGCGCGAAAAGGAGACCTTGGGCGTGGTGTATAAATAAGACATTGGTCTGCTGGTAAAACTTGCCTTAAACTAATGAGTAAGGAAAACAAAGTGGCCGGGGGGATCCGGCCGCAGCGCTTGCTATTTCAATGCGCATGAATTTGTGGAGGGGTTGTAGGCTGGCCGATTGTTGACGCTGCTTACTTTGCAGAACTCTCTCGTGCTGGTCTCCCAATTTAACCCACCCCCAATCCGAGTACGAATCTTTTTACTTTTACTCGAAATTTTTACCAATGTAGAGATACTAAGAAAAGATTAAACTTCTAAATCAATTAAAATTAAGTTGATTATCATGCAGAAAAGCCCTAATTGTAGTTCTTGTTTGTTTCGTATGTCAAAGTGTCCCGGGATTTATAGGAACTGTTGCTTAGATAATTCATGGTAAAGCCCTAAATTCGTTTACGTTTCTTGTGATCTCTGTCTGTAGAGGATAGATAATCATCAATGGCGTCTGTGGTCAAGTTCGAGACGATGGTGGGTCTTTTATTGATTTATGAACTTCAATAAGAATCAAATTTTGACACTAATCTTTACCTATATTTATTTTTATTTGATTTCGTGTAAAATAATTATAAGAAGAATAATCATGTAATTCAAAATTTATTTATTTTATAATTTTCACCTAAAATTTAGTTTTGCGTATTTTTGTGAAATGAATTGCGAGCGGGAGTCGTGCAGATGGTTGCAAATGGCGCGTAATTTTCAGAATGCGACAATGAGAAAGGGGTAGAAGATTCCCAATTACATCAATCTCCTCCACTTTTCACCGTTATATTCCATCATTATCTCGGCCATTTTTTCTTCTCCAATGCGCCGCTTTCATTTTCCTCTACTTTCAGTGAGATTTGCTTCGCCGACCTCTATTTGTGGTTTTTTTGTTCAGTATAAATAAGCAAACGTTTTCGATTACTGTGTTTTTGACCTGAAATTCTTTGAATTCAATTGCGTGTTGCTTTGCCACTTGATCGGTTTAGCTTTCTTGTTCATACCAGCAACGTTAGGGGTTTTCGACTTCTAAGATCGGCGTTTTGATGCGAAAGGTTTTGAAGGAAGGTATGATTTTCTTCTTTATCTTGTGTTTGATTTCTCTGTTTTTGTTACTATTTAAACCAAAATCAATGATTACGTTTTGGATTTTCCTTTTTTTCTCTTTTGCTTTTGTTATTCGGGTGGGTTTCGCTTATTATAGCGTTTCAATGATCTTGCTTTATTGTCGCTGGGAATTTGTGGGTTATGCATTGGAATTGTTATTCTAACCAGATACTATGACAGTATGTTGATGCCGCCCTCATTTATGAATTACTTTATGTTCGTTTTCCCCTCTTTTGTTTACTCCAATGATTGCTGCCCAGAAATAAGGTGTTAGAAATGATTTATTTTCTTCACGGGTTGATTACTTCAGACCTTTCTGCGTTGCATTTATGTATCTGAATGCTCAATTTCTTATCATTTATGGGAGCTTACT